AATATATTACATTTATTAAAATCTATATAATTTACTATGTACGAGGAAGTGTGAACATTTTATAACATAAATAACAAAAAAATATATATATATAAACTGGTAAACAAGTAAAATAAGCGTATAGATGCTAAAATGCTATTAAAGTGGAAAGGACGCCTTACCAAAAACGAAAAGTATTTAATAAAGCGGATTTGCATTTAAAAAAAAAAATAACGAAATTTATGATAGAGTTATTATTGTCCATAAGCTAAACATATTTATTGTATAGGTACATATCGTTTATCATGCAGCTATTTTTCACATAATATTTATATTTTGTTTTGTTTTTGATTGGTACGTAATTATTTTTCGTTTATTTGTTTTAAACATATTCAAATGACGATTTATTTGAAATTATATTAACATAGTAAATAATGTAGGGCTCTTGAAAATCAAACTTTGAAGAGTACCAGTATTCCACGTTTTTAATTTATTTATCATAAATTCCATGGATTGTACCGATATTCCGACAATTATTTATCCAAAATATATTTTCTGAATGTTTATTTATTATTACCCCAAAATCACAAAATATATATATATTTTTGATTTTTAATCCTGTGCCGTAATTAAAATGGCAGCTTCTTGTACTACGTACATGGTAATCTTAAATATTACCTTACCTATATTTTACTTGGTGATGGTATATTTCAGATCATAGACAGTCCACAATTGCCTATTATTATTGAATAAGTAATTTATATGATATGACCTCGGGACTGATTTATAATCATAATCAGTTATGACGCTATTTAATTTATGACTACTACAATATTTTTTTTTATAACCGCATCTAAATGTCTAGTTTATTTGTTTTTAGAGATATTTTAAGGAAAGTCTACAGACATGTCGAGTCATGACTTAGATTTGAAAAAATAATCTTATTCAACGTCTTTTATCTAATATAAGCCTTTAAATCCCGCATATATTTTTTTTTGTACTCCAATGCAATTATTTAAAAACTATTACTACGATTTTCAACGCTAGACACATAATATATGAGTATTATAATATATTTTATACAATGATCAGCTTTTAAAAATCTTACCGGAAATTTAAATAATTGGTATAATATTATATACTTTTGAATTTCACTATTAAAGATCTAAACAATAAAGCAATAATTATTAATTAGCGTCGCTTATGAGCCTTTAATAACTACATAATTGTTATAAGAATGATATTAAATTACTAGTGGGGATGCAACTCCGACCTGCCATTGAAAACTTACACACACGATTTATCAGATTTATCATGAATTATTATCTAAGTAGTTTCAAACACAATAATTGTATACAATATCATGAAATCATTAATTTAAACATTTACAAATTTATTTATTTCAGTGCGTATTATATGTTTTAGCCATCAGTCATCAGTACCTACACAGTCTTATATTATAGCTGTAATTATGTAAATTTTGTTCCAAGTGTTTGATCGTTAAAACTGCGTACTTAAATTTCTCGAGATTGCATCATCAGTATAGTAGTGAAATTAAATTTTTTTTACTGTTTACAACTTTTCTTTTAGTTCTTTATTTATTTATCTCTACTTTTGGGTATTTGTAGAGCTGTATTCTCGTGTTTTTTTTTTTTTTTTTTAGTCTCAACTATTCCATCACGACGAGTTTCGTCAAATCGTATACACTATAATAGTCGTACAATCATTACAATCAGTTTTTATTTATCGCAATGTTGTTTGCGAACTTACATTCGATTCTCTTACTCATTTATCAACTTATAGCTTCGCGTCAATGGACATCATTGTAGTTCAAATTAAGTAATCATTGCTACTCTAATATCTGTTGTATGTTTTCAATTATTGCCTGATGGCGGTGTCTTTAGTTTGAACAAAATTCAATGTTTAAGTGCTGCTATAAAAACAATTCGACGCCGCTGCAGTAAAAACATTTTTGCAGAGTCACATCTGACTTGTTTGATGTTCAACTGACAGCTTATTTATTTAATTATCTGATTATTAAAAAAAAAAAAAAAAAAAAGAACACTAACATTTAACAATTCTAACATTACTAGGATTATTTTTTCAATTGATTTTTTATTGTTACTAACCAGTTAACTAGGTAAACCTATGGTACCTTATGTAATTAATGGTTTCGTCAATCTCGATTTCATAGAATCATGTATAAATGTGTAATCTTTCGTTAATCCAAATCAATTTATCATCCGTAAAACTTCACCTTGCATTTTTGACGTGTTATAATATTGAAAGGACTCGTTATAGATATTATACAGTAACTTATTTAAAACAATTTTATAAAACAGGAATAATTTTTGTACAATTTACCTATTGATTACAGATGCACAAAGTAATTTGGCATTTTTTTTGTCGAACGAATTAATTTATTAAAATGTGTTAAATCCTTCAGTGATATTTAAAACTATTTAATATATGTTATTTCGTTATTTCCAACTCTAATTAAATTAGTTTTTAGATTGACTATATAATAGATTTCTGGTATTAATAGTTATATATATATATACGTATATAAATATATATTTTAGGTATAAAAGCTTCAACATCTAGGTAATTAGCTTAAAATTATATTTTATAATTATGTTTACATTGATTAGTGTGGTTGTTTACTTAGCTCTAAGCTTAAATATGTAGATTATATATATATATTTTTTTTTTGTAATGTCATTTAAATGTTTGTATATTGTCTTCAATTATCTTATTTTAAAATTTGGTATTAATACAAACTAAATATAATTTAGTGTTTTATGGAGTTTTCTGAAAATATCAAACTATAATGAAAAAATATGATTCAATTTACTATTGATTTTATATTATATAATTATTGTTCGTAATATTTTATGACTTAAGTAAAATTTGAAACTGCATTTTAATATTTTGATTTTTTTTTTCATTAGTTTTTTTTTTTTTTTTAAGCAATTAATAGAATATTTGATAATTATAGTTTTATCCACGAATCAGCCATTTGATTATAATATTATTATAGTGATAAACTGTTTGAATACGAATAGTATGCAATGTAAACAAGAATAAATTATTTGAATGTTTGTTCAGATCAGATTTTTCGTGTATTCGGGAAAGCTAACTAATAATTAATTTTCTCAGCACATAATATTTATTTTTTTAGCTGGAAAACGGTATATAGGAATGATAATTTTCTATAGCTCATAAGTGGTCGCTTGTCCAACTATCCAAGTACCAGTTACATTTGATATAATTAAGAACTACTTTCATAATTAACCACTAAGTTCACCATATATATTTATCTATTTAATTTAGTTTTTATGCCTATTATAAAGATAATATTATCTAGCTGTACTTGAAACGTTTTTAACAATTTACCGTAAACGTTTGCCTGGTGTAATGATATTATATATATATAGATGCATAACGTTTTTAGTATGAATTTTAAAAGAAATATTTTTAAACACTGTTTTAATTTTTTTATTATTTATAAATATTTCTCAACTTTTAACATTTTAAAATTGTTAGTTATACTTATTTCTTTAATATTATGTATACACTATACATTGTTGCAAATTGCAACTTAGTTTAGTAATTTAATTATTTACGAATTTTTTTTTGTAGTATTGCTTAATTTTATACGGTGTTAAGTAAGAATTTTTAGAATTTAGTAAAACATTATATACATAGTTAGTAAGTGTCGAACTTCCACATAGGAAAACAAGGCATCTGCCTAGGGGTCCTTACCTTCCCGAGGCCCAGACTGCCAGCCAAATACCAAAACAACGAAAAAATTTTGCACAAAATCGATTAAAATGGAGAATTAATATTTCGTATATAAGAGTATTATTTATTTATTTATTGTTTAGGGATTAGATAGAAACATGCTTATAATAATATTATCATGAAGCAGGTAGTAGCTTTGAAATCAATATTACGTCACACTATATTTTTATGGATGTATAAAATGATAATATGTATCGGAACTGTATTTTATACATTTTATAATGTTTATGAGTGATTATTTTTTTTTCCATTTGATTAAATTTATTATTTTTAATCAGAAATAATGCAATTAGTAGACTACAATGAAGTCATACATTCTTTCGAAGAAAAAAAAAGTTTATAGTATAAAAATGTAATTTTGTCATTTAAAAATTATATTAAGTAATAAGTATACTGTATTGTTAAAACTTGTCAATTGTTTTCATAAATCTGTCCTTTTGCATACACATATATGTATTTATTTTTTAATTATGATAATGGTATATGTATACTAATTTTTTATTAAGTATATTGAATATATAAAAATTAAAAGAGGTTTTTATTAATATATTTTTAAAAAGGTCCCTTCTTTAGTAGCTGCCTTGCGTCCCTGGGACTCTTAAATTGGCCATTTCAACTATTAATCTTCAATATTCTTATTCTAAACTACAATAATAACATTTAAATCAGATTCGTTTACTAAAAAGTACAAATTAAGGTCAAAGCATATATAGCGAACAGTAAATGACATTTTGTTTATACACTTAATGTTGTCAGTCATTTCATTTAAAAAGATACATTGACTAAACAAAGATAAAAACAATTCTCATTTTAAATTAATCACAAATAACATTTTATTGATTTAATCGTAGGTAAGCAAACAAATGCCCTAATAAAAAAAAAATAATAATGTTATATTTTTAAAATAATATTAGTAAGTTTAATATTTTTAAGGCCGGGAAAAATAAAACATTTTATTTACACAGATATAATTTGAAAAAAATCACAATTATAATTGGACCATATTATTTAATTAAATTTTATAAAACTATAGAATTATAATAAATTTAACCAGTAAATATTTTGTATTTATTGATGTTTACGAAAAATTTCTAAATAAAATATCATATTGAACCAATTTACCAATTTAATATAGCTAAGTAATTAATAAAATATAATAAGTAATAAAAAACACATAATTATATTTTATATTTTTATGTGTATGATAATAATTATTTAACTACATTGATAGTTTATTACTTAATTTAAAAATATGTAAGTGTTGAAAATTATTTAAACCCTTTAAAAAAAACCCATTTTTCATTGAGATATTACGAGTATTAATTAGATTTGATAGATGGTAAGGTTTTTGTTTTGAAAAGTGTTTGGAAGAACTCAAATGATGACTTCTTGGCACGAGGTCTGTTCGGATGATTAAAGTCCACTGCATATATACCAAACAATTTACTATAAAAACAAAATAAAATAAAGTATATGTTAAAAAAAAACAAATAAAATATCATATAATTTTGTGAAAAATAGATTTACACAAAATATCCACTTGTCCATTCCAATGAATCCATAAACGACCAAACACAATACCCTTTAATAGCAACACCTTTCTTTAAGGCTTTGTAGAGTTCCGTCAAAATGCCCTGTTCAATAATTAAAACATAATGCATTATTAATTAAATAGCACCATATAATTATTATTATTTAGTTATGTTCATTATCATTAATATAGAATATAATGTAATAGATATCGGTCTAAGAAGAGTGCTGCTGTACAACTTACGTGATGATATTTAATTTTTTTTTCACTTTCATCTTCATTTGGTTTCTCAAAAATACCATTTTCAGCAACAAACAGTTTTGGATTGTCTAAGTGTTCCACAAACCAATTTATCACATCAGTAAATCCTCTGAAGCTCTAAAAATTTAAATGCAATTTCAATATATTGAAATGAACAGACACAAAACTTAATGAAATATTACATCTTCCATATTGTTTGAATTCGGAGTAGATACTACTCCCAAGTCTCTATTTAGTAAGTATGTCTCATTTAAGTAATCTTTTTCAGTCATTGTTGTTACTAAGAATGATTCATAATAATTGAAGGCAATGAAATCATATGATCCTGAAATAAATAATATGCTTTGTGATTTTGGTTCCAAAATATTCAAATTTTCGACATTCTGTTATAAAATTTATTTAATTAAATAAATTAAAAATTAAAAATCATAAAACTACATACTGACATTAATAGAAATATAAAAGTACTTGTTACTAAATTTGTATTATTTATTGGTAATATTAAGTGTTTCTTGTTCGTTGTGATTTAATAAACACAATAATACAATACATAGAATGTTAATACTTGAATTTATACAAGAAAAAAAATATTTCTAGTATGAATAGTAATAAAAAAAATAAAAATTTAACCAAATTGTATACATTGTGATACGTGTAACGATAACCATATTTATTAGAAAATATTGTATATCACCTATGAGAATTTCTTTTTCTTTTTCGTTGAATTCAACGATACGCTTTAAAGATATATTTTCATATTCATCGGTTGTAGCGATACCATCTAACACTGATTGTGGGAATGTGCCGTTTTTCAATGGTTGAGTGAATATCCCAATCTGAAAATAAAATATTTTCATATATTACACTAATATTAAATGCCAAAAATTGATTATGTTTAAGTATGTTTAATATTTTATCGTACATTAAAATCGTATGATTTTTTAACAGCAATGAGGTCATCCTCTAGATCTGGATTTTTTGGAAAATACGCCATTGTGTCTAAACACAAACTGATCTCACCTAATAAAATTAATTAAATACATATTAATAACGATATTTTATCGTTTTATTGAAATTCAGATAATGTTACTTGCATTGTTACATTATAATATAATATAGACTATAAGAGACATAATTAGGTAGGTGCCACTAAATATATTAATTGAAACAATGTATCAGAGATACAATATGTTAATACACCACGGTGAAGAAGACTTTTTACTTACCTTGCTGTTCAGCGAAGTACTTGCTCTTGTATAACTTGTAAGCTGCCGCGTGGGCAAGCAACACATTGCGAATGGCCATGTAATCAGCGATACCGTTGAACGATTCACCAACACTGGGCGCTATGTTCTCATTACCATAAGCCAAAGCTACGAATCTGGGTTCATTAATTGTAGTCCATATTTTGACCTATATAATACATTAAATTTTTAATTAAATCTCACTAATGTATACACAACATTGATGGTTACTAACTTGTGAGCCAAATGTTCTGAAAATAAAACTTGCATAATTTACAAAATATTCAATAATGTTTGGATTCGACCAACCACCAAGGTCTTGAAGACAGTTCGGTAGATCCCAGTGGTACATTGTTACCTAGTTTTTGGTACACAGTAATTAAAAAATATTTTAAAAACACTTGATAAAAATATATTATAGTTATAAATTGTAAATATTTATGGCTGTTTTGATTTTTTCTTTGTTTGGTACAATATAGGCATTTAATTTAAATATTTAGTAAACAAGCATCTCATTTAAAAATCCATTTTATAACAGTATTTAAAACATAATGGAAAATAATTCATGTAATTTAATTTAATAAATTAAAAATAATTCCAAAATTAAAACATGACGTTAAGTTCAATTAAACTCGATTAATCGAAAACAAATTAATAACTATAGGAATAATATGAAATTTATTTAAATGTAAATGTTCACTTTATTCTGTACATTAATGTTTAATATGTACTTTTGACATAATATTTTGTTAATTTGCATATAAGTTATCAGAACAATTATTATTTAGTTGTATTTTTTTTATAAATGTACACAGTTATTAAGAAATAATTTTAAAAGATTTTGATAGAAATATGTCATAGTTAGAAATTGTAAGTATCATTTGATATTTATTGCTGTTTTAGTTTTTGCTTTGTTTGGTACAATATAGGAATTTAATTTAAATAAGTATCTCATTTGTATTTCTATTTTAAATATAATGGAAAATAGTTTTAAATTATAATACTTTACCACTGGTGTAATATTGTTATCCAAAAGATTTTGAATTAAAGATTGGTAATATTCAACTCCAGCAGCGTTTACTTTACGGTCATCGGCATATGGCAAAACTCTTGGCCAACTTATAGAAAATCGGTATGTATTAACCTAAAACAATATAATTAAAATTATTTTCATTAATAAAAAAACTACTAAATTATACTAAAAATAAATAAAATATCGTGTACTAAGAAAATACACGTATACTATATTAATCATATTAACTACTATTTTACAAATATATGGTTTTATGTTTGAATAATTGAAATATTTTGGTTAACTGATTTAATATAATTTAAAAATTGCGTTTATTTAAGTTTATGAGTTCATAGACTATAAAGTCATAAAAATAATAATTATCGTAAATATAATGATTATTGTTATGTATGTTTAATCATAAATTTACAAATCTAAGATAAGTTAAAAAAACACACAAGCCTGCTTCCAAAATTTTAACATATTTAAAAAAAAAAAAAAATAAAGAAAATAACTTAGATTTTTTGCAATTATAAGTTATGAGTATAGGTAATATTGAAAAATATAAAATTCTCGTTAATATAGTTCGTGTTTTTATAACAAGTTAAACTTATAAAATGATCAACTAGTTTTACAATTTGCAGGCACATACCCCAAGTTCAACCAAATTCATAATATCTTCATCGAGTTTGTTGTAAGAATCACACGCAATATCTCCGTTGACAATTGAGAAACCACGAGATGGATCTTCACTATGGATATCTGTTCCTTTATGAAAATTAGAACATTTTTTCTTGGGTCCCAACGTAACAACTGATGGATTGGAGACAATGATGTTTTTACTATGGAAATATTGATCCCATATACTAGGAGACTTATCTATAAAATAAAACAATATAAATATATGTGTTATAGATCATTGTAACGGTTGCCAAGTACAAAAAATCAATTTTGAAAATTATAACTCTCTAAAACAATATAATATACTAAACGTGTTTTTCGCTATAAGTATCACATTTTTGTTTTATTCAGTTAAGGTTGTTAAATAAGAAGTAAACCTACTTATAACAGTTAAATATCTTGAAAATTATATTATTTATAATAATCTAATTTTTAAAAAAATTAGATAAAGTTTACCAATTTAACGAAACACTTTACTAAAATTCAATCACATTTTTTAATATTCAAGAAATATTCAATTATGTTGTATACTTTAAGTAACATTATACTTCTACACCTAAGTTTTAATTATTATTTTTTTTATTTGATTACTTTTAATTTTACATTTAAAACATCTTAATTCAAGTATTGCTTTACAAAAATTATCCTTAAAACTATTACTAATTTATTATCTATATACATTGTCAAATAAATAATGACAATATAAGTATAATAATTACTTTTACTTTTAATTAAATTTTTTTCATATTTAAATTTAAAAATTTCACTAAGATATAATAATATAATTGGCTAAATATATATTCATATTATAACTATATTGATTTATTATAAATCATAAATTTATTTTTTGATTTTTTTTGATTTATTTAAAAATATATGTTAAAGATTTAAAACGTTTAAGAAAATAATACATAATAATTTAAACCATTTTTTAAATTATATTATAACGTACTATTAAATATTAAATATTTTTATTGTTATGAGTATTTAATATTTAATATTTATATTAAATGTACCACAACAAAAACTTACTATCTGAGTCCCATCCTCCTTCTATTTGATATGCGGCAGATCCGGTTCCAATCAAAAAATCATCAGGAAACTGAACTACTAAATTATTAAAGAAATATAAATCAACTATGAGTTGTATATTACTTACAATAAAGTTAAAAGATTTGTCCTATTACTTTTAATTTTTCAAATCAAGGAATGATAAAAATTATGACTAAATGCTTACCTTCTTCAGAAGCCATTTTTGTAAATTAAAGAAGATCTTAACTTTGGTAAACTAAAACAATTTAAAAATTTAGAAGTATTTAAAATAACAGAATGTTACTTTATTAGTATATTAACATTATTACTGTTTGGGTAATATTAATATACTGTTTGTTCACATATTTTCATTTTGTTTGATAAAATAAGCACCATATAAAATAATTACCTGTTTGGAAATAGTCAACGCTTGCGCCTTGAAACTAAGAATTAAGAAGTAGTTAAACGGCTCACAAACACCTTTATATATACTGAGAAAAATTGTTTACACTAATGATATTATAATAGATAAGCTAATGAATTTTACAATTTTATCTTTTTTTTTTTTTTGATTAACAAAATCAATTAATTAATTTCATAAATGTATGGCTTCGTATTTTAGATAATACTAAAAATAAATTATTATATTTAATTTATAGATTTTTAAGAAAATAATACCTTTGCTGTAAAAGCAATAATTTAGATCTATAATTTATGAACACATCCACCATATTTGTTTAAATAAATGTTAACGAAATAATATATAGGTATTAAAAAATTATAAAGATTAAATCAATGCATTTTAAGTATTTTTTTTCACTGGAAAATATAAAGATTTATCAAATGTTTTTCATGTGTAAAAAAAATCTATAGATTTTTGACAACAATTGTATGGGTTAATTATGAAAACTTTATTTTATAGTACATATAAGTTTGTACAAATATATTTTTATTTTTTATATTTTTTTCATATTAATCTTAGTTTTAATACTTACACTCTTTTAGTATATTATTGGATAATCCTTAAAATTTACTCTAAGTAAAAATAATTTTTTCAGTTAAACTTACTGAAAAATAGTTTATTTGCAATTATCAATATATTTGTCAAATAATTACAAGTTATTCAGTCTATTATATAATTATTGTTATATTTATAGCTTGATAACATTAGAATCACAATCTATTTGTTTTTTTAATTCACTAAATTGATTTTCATATATGTTATATGTTTCCACTCAAAACTCTTTTCTCATACCAACCCCCTCATTTCAAACCTTGCCACCTTTACAATTCCTGGGAAACCTCCCAGGAGGCTCAGAAGGAAATGGTGTAGAGATCTTCTCAATGAGTAATTAAAGTAGCTTTATACATTAAAGAAAATAATAATAATAAATAAATAAGTAATTTAATTTAATTTAAAAAAATATACATATATATCAATTAAAAGTATTGTAACCACTGAGTGACTCTTCTCATCACGTTTTCATGTAAATACTTTCTAATACCATATATTCTTATTGTCCCTAAAGGAATAGATTGTATATACCTTCTAAAAATAAAAAAATAAAAAAATATATGTTATAAAGATAAAGATTTTAATTTAATTTCGTATACATGCTATAGAAATATGTATATATAATTATATAGTTTTACTGTAATGAAACACATAAATAAAAATAAAAATATAGGTTTATTTTTTATTAATATCGTAATAATATTATATATACAACTTATCGATAGCTATAATTAGTTTCTTATTTTTTCACAAAAAAAAAAAAAAAAAATGTGACATTATTACACAAATTTAAAAGAAATTGGAATATTTTATAATATTTTCTTTTAATAAAAACAATTTAAAATTAAATAATATAGTATTATGGTAAAATGTCATTAAATATTCACAATTGTACTATTATTTATTATCATAACTGTTTATGAAAAAAATGTGAACGGTTGAGACTATAAGTATCTGATTAAATGCAAAAGTTTGTTGGAAATTTTCTGACTAAATGTCAAGTTAAAAATACAGGGCTAATTATAAATGGATTGGAGGGATTAATATAAAAATATTATTAGCACCCTACCCAAGAATTAAATATATAATTATAAAATCATATTTTTTTCTGAAAATATTAAATCAATATTGTAAATTATAACTGTATAAATCAATGTAAATATCATTTAAAATTCAATTAATTATAATATCACAATATAAGTACTATTGTACATAATTTATATACCAACATGACTTAATCCTTGAATTCCTTAGATTAAATATGAATGGAACTTGTTATTTACTCGAATTCAACATTTTAAAATATTTGGAAAATTTTTAACTTTTGAATTTTAAACAGATAACGACACCGTTATAAAATTATAAGAATTTAAAATGGCAACTCAAGAAATACGTAACACAAAAATATTACCATTTATATTTATAATAATATCAATATCGAAAATAATTTTTTTCAAACTTAACAAAATAATTGCTAAGTTTGAAGTATTCGATTTTGAATATTTATTTCCAAAAAACTTTAAAATGTACAAATTTCTCAAAGTTCAAGGTGATTAAGTGTCCGATAAGTTCAAAAATGTATACATAATTTTTTTTAAAGATGATTTTGATAGTTATATAAATGAGTTACAATACAGTGTATTACTGATAATAGATAATCACTTATAATTAATAATAATGGATAAATCACATAAAATTATATCATCAAAACAATATAATAATGTCTATAAATAAAATTTATATTTTATATTTTACATTAAAATGTATTGATTCCATTAATTATACAAAGCGTTTATTATAAATAAATATTATTTTATTTTGTCGGTACCAAATACGTCTTTGGAACAAAAACAGCAAAATTAATTTAATGGGAAATTCAATAAATTATATTATTATCCAAAGTATTAATACGTGATCCAGTTTTAACATATAATTAATTAAAGTTTAACAATTAAGTAAAATACACACACACACACACATATATATATATATATATATATATATATATATATATATATGTTAATTATGATATAAATGTTTCACAAAAGCTGTTATATATTTTCTTTTACACTTTGTATTGCTTATTATCAGAAAAATAGGTATTATCCATAAATATTATTCAATCTTATCTTTCTAAGCATTAATGTTAAACTGTCTTATCTTAATAATACATAACTTATAAAGGTATATTAGTTGTCAATAATTCGTAAAATGCAATAGTTTATCAGAAATGATTTTCAGCATAGTTATTATTTAAATAGTTCGATAAATTATGACAAGTCATTAAATCTGAGGCTCATAATGAATAGATTAACTTACTATGAAATTATTATAATTTTACTAAAATTGTAGTTTTATAAGCACGAAATTTAATAATAATAACTACTTTCATAAATAATTGATTAATTGTAGAAAAAAAAAGACGTGAAATGTGAAAAGATAACGGACCACTTATTTATATCATAATATAACCATTAAGAAATACGTAAAAAAAAAAAATGTCTTGAAGTACTTACCACTTTTCATATATCTTTACTCAAATTAATATTTGTTATCGAATAACTGTTAATTTAGTGTTCACTGTTTGTATGTAAGATTTAAAAAATTGTATTCTACATTAGATTATGAATTTTATAGTAAAGGGAATATACCTAATTTATATAGCTTAAAATTATACTATATACACATCGAATCATTAATTTTTACATCCATTTATAATTATATATATATATTTTTTTTTTTTTTTTTGGATAATTTAAGATACATATATATATATATATATATCTTAAATTATTCAAAAAAAAAAAATAAAATATTAAAAAAAAAAAATATATCTTAAAATAATTATAATACATTGTTAATAGGATAAAAAATGTCATTGAGGTAACAATCAATTATTATACAAGTGAATATATTGTCATTTGAAGTCTGTATAGCCAATTATAGACACCACGCCTGTTTAAAACAAACAATTTTGCAATGTATTAAAATTTTTTTTCCCGTTTTTATTTTTTTTTTTTTTTTTTTTTGTATGATATTTTGTTTAACCATTAATACTTGAGTTTTGTCTTACCAGTACTTGAAGAATATATGTGGCCAGAGGCATATTATTAATTATACATCTCGATCGTTAACATGTTATGTTATTGACACAATATTTTAATACTTCTATTCAACTAATAAAAATTAGTTAATGAGTTAGGAGAGTTGTGTTTGCAATTAAATGACTTACGATATTCATCATTAGGGAGAGATTTTTATTTATTATTTTTACCAAAAATAAAATAAATCGAGCTAATCAGTTATTCAATGCGACACTTTTGGTATATAAATAATATATTTATGTGAAAAATAAAATTCGTTTTAACTCATGGGCTTATGCTAATTTTTAAATAGTCATTTTTAATGATGAATATCACTTTTAGATTCAAATATTAAAATCGGTCGTTTGTAAAATTTAATGTCTCATGAATCGTAAATTGAAAATTAATTTCAAATTATCATAAAGTAAATATTATCTCAGCCCGTGGGTTCGTTATTACTGTAGGTTCTTAGACTATGAATTGATTTAAGAATAATTTAATTTGTTTAAACAAAAATCATTTAAAATGTTGATCCTTCAGATGTAATGCTATTTACCACATAAAAATATTGACACAAAAGTAAAATTTCAAAAAAAAATGAATGAAAAATATTTTGAATTGTAATTACTGTTTACAACTCCTCTGTAGTTGAAGGTAAAACTATTAATATTATAATAATAATCATTTTGTTACTTTATTGGGTTTCATGTAAAAAAGTATCGTTCAAATATTGTTTATTCAATGAATACAATATATTATATTCAATACAGTATGTATAGTATATACAGTATACATATAATATTAGGTACCTATATTATTTGTTGTTTGTCGTCCGCTGCATTTTGTCTCGCTGACCTTTTTGTTATTTTTTTACGAGATTTATTTATAACATAAGGTGCACAGCGTGCACGACTCGGTCATTTACATAGGGTTTATTGCCATTTTCAACCATTCCACGTACGAACGTTTCGGCACAGCACGTTGCCAGGTGGTGAATGCATGGCGGGCGGACGTAGATTTAAAAATGTATGAAAGTGCGCGATCACGACTTTTGCAGCAGAAACGCTTCACTCCTACGTATCGTGCTACGCTGTGTATACAATATACAGTGCATAATACACGCACACATAATATTGTTTAGGTACTTTTATTAATTTA